TTGAAAACACAACACTGACATGCAGCTTAGAAGATATTGTCTCAACCATTCCACTTTTTTCTATTTCTTTTGTTTTATTTTCATTAACAGATGTAATTACAAAATAAGTAAAATAAAAGAAATAGAAAAAAAAAACAAAATATTTAAGTCAATCTATTAAATTGCATTATGTATCAAAAAATCTAAATGGCTATCAAATGCCCACATATACTGTATTCACTCACATTTAAGACGAGGTTTTTATTCATTTTTCACTGCTTCAAAAATCTAGGTCATCCTATATGCGCAAGAAAAGGATTTTTTGCATTTTTGCAATAATTTTTGTAAACTGTGTATTTGCATTTTTTACCAGATGCTCACCCTCTGGTGTCTAAAAACAAAAGTATTTTATCTAGGTCACTTCAATTTTTCTTGTGTATTGTCAGGAGTAAAGATGAATAGCAATTGGAATAGCAAAGCTTTTGAATTGAATTTTAAATTGAAATTCCAAAATCACACAGGAGCCCGATATAAGTTTTAATCCATCCCCACATGAAAACAGATGATTATTTGGAAATCAGAATTCAGAGAAACTCATAAGTGTAATCGATGGAGAATGGATTTGACTGTTAAGAATTGGCAAAAAAGGTTCTTGATTGTCCAGCTTTACATGAGCAAATTATATTATCGATTTTACAAGATTTTTCTTTAAAGTTTAAAATGCGAGTAATTTTTGTGGGACAATGTGTGCATTTATGTGCATTTGATATTTTATTTGTGATTAAACGAAATAAAATTAGAATTGTATTAATAAATCTAATTTTCTTTATTTGATCTTTAAAGTCACACCTCATCCTATATGCAAGATTGTCTTATATGCGAGTAAATACTAAATTTATCATTTTTGTTTACCTCCATTTTATTTATTAAAAAATATATAATAATAAATTTTAAAATAAACTAAAAAAATTACATTAAACAAGTAAAATGGCAAAGCCATTGACGAAACTATGTCTCAGAGAGCATAAGGAACGCATGCACAAATCTTGCACTTGCACCTATTTGTAGAAACAGTCTCAGCATTTCATATTTTCTTTTGATCCAGTTCTCAATCCCTTGACTACCTACAAGTCTGGTTTATTTTATGCGTGCATGATTTGGGCACCAAATACTCTGTGCCAAATTGCAACTCCTGACATGTACTCCTTCATATTTCTAAAGTGTATAGCCGTTGACAGCAGTGCAATTTTAGAAATGAAACATAGTCTCATCAAAAGTTTTAATGATGATAATATCCAATCATATCGTTCCAAGAGTCAATCACAGCTCTTATTTACTATAAAGAACTAACAAAATCAACATTGGTTACTAAATTCAACCAGAATGCTGCAGAATACTGTACTGAGCTGCATCGTAATACTTCTTACATACATTACTAAAAGTACAAAAAGCACAATAATTTTATGTCAGTAAGGTAAAGTACTAAAAAACACTGGATTTCATAAGACTTTCTTTTTTCAAGTTTTATTTTTGAAATATGAAATACATTAACTTCAAATTTTCCAAATTTATACCAAAAAATTTGAATTAGCTGCTTTTTAAAGACTAATTTCAAGAAAAATAATAGTAAATTTGATTTAGTAATTCAAATTAATCAAGAGTTTGTTAGTTTTGACTGTATTTGAAGAAAAGAACTATTTTAAAATAGAACTAATTGTTTAAAATAAAAATTATAAAGAACTATATAATCTTTAAAAATATAAATTAAAATTAAACATATAATTGCATATCAATGTAAATATACTCTTGAAAAAATTAAGCAAACTGAAGTCAAAGCATAATTTAATAATTCAATGATTTCAACAAATTTATATTTTACTACATATAATACTAATTTCAGAATCAAATTGAAATCTTTCATTAATACAATGGTACCTCATATTTTGAATGACTAACTTTGAACACAAAATTTAACAATTTGCCTTGGAGTTCAAACTGTGCAGTGAAAATATATGCTCAAAGCATAAATGCAATCCATTGTGTCCAAGTCATCTCCCATTCTCACATTATTACTAATATAAAAGCTGTCATGTGTGCATGTGTATATGTATATATGAATTCCTTATAACTCCTGCAATTTTTGTTTAATCCAGATGAAATTTTGGTTATATTCATTAAATGTTCTGATGGAAAGTATAGCCACTTATTTTACAGAAATATTAGCTATAAAATAAACATTTTATTGATTTCAAATTCGTGATTGCACTACGTTGCAGTGATATCAGTGACCACATTATGTTCATACTCAATGAGGAAATTTCCCTTAAGTTGCATTTTTAAATATTTTGGCAAATGGCATATTTTAAACTTACTTCATTAAATTTAAAATTTAAACTTTAAAAAAAGATAGTTTCATCAAGTCACTTCTATAACAAATTTTTAAAAAATTATTCCATAGTAACCACAGTAACCACATGATGTTCTATTATCCAATCAGAAGTAACAATCTGAAGAGCTCATTATTTAGAAAGTGTTATCGCTAATCTAAAATTAACATACAGTACATACAATTCATCTTTGTTTTATCAACGTGGAATTAAAAAGACTTGCTATTTTCAAATCCATCTAATAAACAAAGCGATAATTACAAATATGTCACACTAATCTTGTATAGTTTTGCAGTTATTACTTAGAACGTATCATTATTGCTATTTTGTCTAAGGGAAAGTGTAAGAGTAAAAATGATCAGGTAAATTCTAGATCTAAAAATTAAGAACAACCTCTGAAGGCAATGAAGTCCAACTTGAGCAACATCAAGTAAGAATGGCTTTATCAAGGACTCAGAAACAGCATCACAACATCAAACTCAACTTGAAGCTCTTCTCACTTCTTCAATTGCTACTTTCTCATAAAGATATTACATCATGCTTGATAGGGAAATTTCTAATGCTTATATGTTTTCAGTGCTTTTATCACTTTATTTTTGGTGTTTGGTTAAATATATTGTATTGTGTGTTATTTATTGATTTTTAACAATTTCTTCCTGCAATCTTTCTTTGTCAACAGCTTTTGGACACCCCCATACGTTTTGTATCCTTTAGTTTAAAATTTCCCAAATAGAACTTTTTAATCCACATTTGACATGCTTGAAGCTTAGGAGCATCTTCCCCATACACAATACAAATTTTTTTTTTTACTGTTTGTACATCATTATATTTTTTTTGAAACTGAAAACATTATATGCCTGACATGCTTTTTATCCAAAAACATTACAACTTGATGTTATTCAAACCAAATGTGAAGTAAAAAGCTTAAAGCAAAGCTTCTAAACAATGAATAAAATCTTACATTTCTGTATATTAAATTTCCCAACTTATAATTAGATCACACATTTATGTTAAGATGCTGAATTCTATGGTGTGCTATCAATAAATGTAATTTTCATTTTATTTTACAGTATTTATGTATAGTGGTGCCTCGTATAACGTACGCCTCGAATAACGGACGCTGCGAATAAGGGACTTTCTGTTTGACCGTTACGTGACTCGAGCAACGGACTTGCTGCGAACAACGGACTTTCCGTTCGGCAGTTACGTGAGACGAACAATGGACTTTCTTCGAACAAGTGCGAATGATGTTTCCACTCTTTTGCCGTTGCCAATGACAATCTGCTATTTTTAGGATATATTAGTATTATTAGAATGTATTATTAGTATATCTGAAGTAGAAATGTAATGTAATATATGTTGATGATTTAAATAAACATTAAATGTAATGTAATATATGTTGACGATTCAAATAAACGAAATGTAATTGTGTAGATGCCGAGGTGGCGGGACGAAAAGAGGTTGTAAAAAACAAACGGAGCGAGAGTAGCTCGTAGAAGTGTTTAGTGATCTTAATTAATAAAGAATTATTCGTATCATATAATCTGGCAAGTTAAGTCATTTATAATGCATCATGGCTTCTAAAAAAACAGAAAGGTGATTTCAATTGAAACAAAGCAAGAAATCATCAGGAGTGAAAGTTGACAAAAACTTTCTTGTCGAATGGGGAGAGGTTCAGGAGTTTACCAACACTCATTATCCAAACAGAGCTGAGGCCAACAGGATCAATGATCTCTACGATGACACCTTTGTCCGTCATTTCCGATAGGTGTTAAAGAAGAAAGAGAAACAGACAACCTTGGTCAAGTTTTTCAAGAAGCCAGTGGGCAAAAAACAAAGGATGGAACAAGAGAAGTTGACCCTGCAAGTTCCGGTAGCCTCTCCTGAATCTGACTCCAATTAAAAAACAATAAAAAAAAAGACCCGCTGCAATGTGTAAAAAGTCTGTATCTGTATGAATGTGTAAAGAAAGTGTTCTTCCACCTCCTCACAACATCTGACTACCAGGCATAATTGGTGTCTGCTCCATTTTCATTTTTTATGGTACAGTACGGTTATTTTATGCTGCGGAACAAATTTTATGTTTTTGCATGTATTTCTATGGGAAAATGCATTTCGTATAACGGCGTTTCACTTAACGGACGTGCACCTGGAACAGATTAAGTACGTTGTACGAGGCACCACTGTATTTTATTTATGGTTTCATACTTTAATTCATTTTTCAGGCATTTAATTCTATTATTTTTATCTTAAATTATGTGTATTTGCTGTTTTAAGTTTATCAAAATAGGTATTATTCAGAGTCTGGTACTGGATTAATTTGCTATTCATTATTTATACTAGGAAAAATTGATTCAGACATCAAATAATCTCCTGGAATAAATTAAATTCAAACTACAACACAACACTGTAATAAGTGCCAAATCTTAAACTGGGATTATTAAGTAACTAGTCTGTTTAAATTTGTTGTAAATTTGCAATTGAAAGTATAAGATGTTTTGAAAACATTTCCATATAAAGTAGTGATTGATTAATGTTTTTGAAAACTGTTTATTGTTCATAAATCTTAACCATATCTATTCATATAAAAATGTTCTTAAATAACAATATTTAGAAAAAAAAACAATGACTTACAATGAATATTTAAGAGCATCATCTAATTCCATTATGGCTGCTTGATTTCCACAACGATAACAATAATTAGGAGCACTGAATATAGTAACCACATTTCTATCATGACACCAATTATAACCCTATAAGAATTAAGAGACAAAAACATAAATAGTTTTATTTTTTTTAAGTTTCTAAACACAAATATATTATTATTAAATTTCATATTAGCAGTTTTTCTACTTAAAATAGTTACTGCACAGTTTTTATTCAGATATTGGTAAAATAAATGCTATTTAAACATACATATTTTTAAAATTTATAAAACTCTATTATTATTTTTTTTTTTTTTTTTTCAATGTTTTATCTGTAAATATATATTATTTATTTGCTTTTATACATAATATTATTTACTCTCATCACATAAAAATTATAATACTGGTATTTATAATTCAAATAACTAAATTTAGATATAATTTTAAAGAGATTTAATTCAGCTACCTCTTCTAACTAAGAAAGTTTTGCATAAGAAAACAAAAATAAAATTATCAATTAGTGCATCAAATCTTGCTGTTTTATTGATGAGTTTTTCTAGAATGCTTTTAATCTACACTCTCAAAAATACTACATAATCATAGCAATAAATGTTTATACAATATAAGAAAACAATTAGATGTTTTTTTCAGAAATATTCCTTTTTCTCTTACATTTTAAACCATTCCCTGGTATTCCGAAATATCTTGAATCAAAACATGAAATCACTAAGAGGTTAAATTTGTCAAATTGAACCGTTTATGATTACTTGAAACAAATTGGTTTCGTTTCAAAGCTCGATAAATGGGTTCCACATGTTCTTAAAAAGAGATGCTCTCTTTGGTGGGATTTTAAGGAATTTTTTTGATGAGAATTGATCAACAAAACAGGTATAGTGTTTTACCACGATAATGTCAAATTTCACACAAGTTTGGTAACTTGTCGGAAACTGTTATAACTTAGATGAGATGTGCTATCACACCAACCATATTCGCCAGATCGAGCACACTCAGATTATTACTTGTTCCGGTCTATACAAATTTTTTTTTAACTGTAAGACATTTACTTGAAATGACAATGTCAAAAATCACTTGAATCAGTTTTTTGTAAGCAACGATCAAAACTTTTATGAATGTGAAATCATGCTACTACTAGAAACAATGACAACAGATATTTGACCAAAATGTTTCATATATAATTCAATAAAATATTTATTTATTATAAAAATATTGTTTTTTTCCACAGAAAAAAAAGAAATTACTTTCCAAACAACCCAATAATAAAAATGAAATTAATAAAAGCTATAGAGCAAAACTGAAACAATGTTTTATGCACCTGAACTGGCTGTCCAACAAACACACATTAGAGGATGTAGACTTCCTTGCATATTTCACTGGTATTCCACAAAGTGTATTTGCAGTTTTATGACTATTGAAAACAAACCTGAAGCTGTGTTTTGTTTTTTGTTTGTCTAATCTTTTCTGTGACTGTCTAAAACATGTAATTATAAATTTATGTATCCAATATAATTACAACAGAAATTTACATTTAACAGAATAAATTTTGCAGTAAATTTTCAGCAACCTACTTCAGTTTTTAACAATTGTTCAATTAGAAGAGACTCCTAGGAGTAAAGTAAAAATGTTACAAAAATAAAATTTCTGTAGCAGTACCAAAACCAACTGATTCTGTTGAATACAATAGAAACATTGGCTTAGTTTAGTTTATTTCTGTTTTATGCATTTTTCCTGACAAGGGACTCTGAAAGACAGCCGAAATTGTTTGAACATTAAAGTTTATTTGTTCATTTACTGTCGGAATTAGCTTTTAGGTATGAATTTGTTTGTTTACTATATTGTTCCAGTTTCTTTCTTTTTTTTGGTCTGATTTACCTTATCATTAAAAAACAATTGACTTAATTGATTATTTACAATCATGCCAAATAGTTAATTCCCAAGCATAGTTTAAGCACAGGACACATCACAAGTTGATTGGTCTTCAGCATCACTAAACAATTGATGCACTGAATTTTAGCATATTCTGTACAATGTGCACCACAGACATTTATCAAAATCAAAGAGAACTTTAAATGCACTCAAAATGTACATCAAAAATTTTTTTGTCATTTTCAAACTGAAAAGAAAAATCAACTAATATTTAGATGAATACAGTACTTATAATTTATTATTAATTACTTACTTCCATAACAAGCTGATGTGCTCTAGCAACAAGAGTTAAGCCATTACTATGATTAAAGGTTTCTGAAATATCCTGACCAAAAGTATATCCGGCACCACGTGGAGATATACCCCAACCACCACGATCATCTGGATCAGACCACAATAAATCACACATAGGACCCTATAACAACAATATCAGTTAAATAATTTTTAAATATATCTTATGTATCAATCAATATTTTTTGTAATATTATTTGTAACCTCATGAGGAACTTCCTGAAGTCTATCAAGTGCACGTATATGATCAAGAGTATCAATTGAAGGTGAGAGTCCTCCATGCAAACAAAAAATCTAAAAAGTAAATGAAACATTTGCAATTAAATATATTATTAAAATAATGAATTATAATTTATTTATACATAATAAGTTTTGTTTAATGATAAATCTAAATAGTTAACTAAATACAACATAATAACAACTAAATACAAATACAGTCGACCTCCCTATAACACTGTTGATTATTCCATTTTATATGAATTCCATGTTGTACGAGTCACTTAGATTTTACAAATACGTGTGCTGGGCTGTGAACATCTCATGTATTTGTAAAATCTAAGTGACTCGTACAACATGGAATTCATATAAAATGGAATAATCAACAGTGTTATAGGGGGGTTGATTGTAAACACAATAATTCAAAAATATTGGACTTAATTTTTCATTAAACACTAATTACATATTATTATTATTAATTTCAACATATTACATCAATCTGATTCAATTACTAATGCCAAATGAACAACCAGATTATTTGTTGGACTGTAACAAAGTTAATTTAATGATTAAATATAAAATATTTGGGTATAGGTAATGGTTAGGCCACCATCTAATGATAAATTTAATAATTAGAAATAAACTTGAATTTAAAATATTCTGTAAGAAAAGACAGCCCAGAGCTGATTAAATATAGTCAAACTGCTTTATATCTACTCATTAAATAGCCTTCATACAGTCTGATGAATAATGTGGCAGTTCATTTGGCATTAATGATCAAAAAACTTTTATTTTTAAAGATCATAATCTTCAATTTAAAAATTGACCAGATAGATAGTACAATCATGACAATTTTTAAATTTATAAAAGTTCAATACAGTACAGTCCCAAAACCTTGACTCTTGATAACTGAAAATTCCATAAAACTAGTGTCATTTCTCTCACTTTACTGTTAACACAAAAGTCTGTAAAACTCATCATTCTCAATAACTCATCAGATTCACAGTTCATATTAAGTTGAGTTTTGTGGGATTCAAATATATTAATATACTATTTATACACTAAATTTAATTGCCTAATTAAGTTACAAAATATTTTGGATATATTAGTATATTAATTTTATAAATTTGGCATTCTATCTAGCAAAACATTTAATAAATAAATTTATGAATTTATCAAAATACTTCATAAACTTAAAAAAAAAAAAACAGTCCAGATGAATAGGAACATAAAATCAGAATTTTACGACAGTTTCATTTAAATAGAGTTCTCAATGGACCAGATCAAAAGACAAAATTATAACCAAAAAAGTTATAATCAAAATTAAGTCAAAATTCATTGCAAGATGGCAGAACCAGTGATGCCAACCAGAAAAAAGGGCCATCAATAGAACAGGATTCTATGTCATGGTTGGAGAGCAAGCAGGCAGGTTTAATTCACCATCCAACCTCCTGCTTCTAGCATGATATCATCACTCCAATTTTAAAATATTCATAAACTATCTTAATTTCATTCTAAAGTTTATTCTAATGTTTTCAAATTATAGTTTTATAATTTGTTCCAGGTAATAATTTTACTAATAATGTAGTACCTAGAGTGCAATAATCAAATTCTACAGTCGACCCCCCTATAAGATCATTGATTANAGTAATAAAACGCCATTATTCGTTATTCATTGTATAAAATAAGAATAGCAGAAAGTAAAATCATTTTTCATTTTTAGTCGATTGTCATTTAGAGCGAAAAATAATCGCTCGACGCTTGCTTGAGTAGTGGATATACATACGATGCAATACGACTAGCGACTTGAAATCCGGGTAATTTTGAATTCACCTCAAATATCAATTTTATTTTGAGCCTGTCCATACCTTTCCGTTGTATTGCAAACTTCACGAAAATGTCATTCTTCAATCTAACTATGTAATTTAGAAACTTGGCTTTGTTTCTCCTATTTATCGAAATCATCATCTGTTTGCTTGTTAGATTACGGCAACGCAACACTTGGGCGATCTACCTAAGGGGGATGCCTTTTGGAGATCTTTTTAAGGGTAACTGGCCCCTTGTCAGGCTTTTTTTTGTTTTTTGTTTACTCTTTTCGCCCTGTGGGCACTAACATGGCCTCTTAAAGCAGGCCCATTATGGGTTCGACCAGACCCTCAATGGGGCGACCGAGTGGTGAGGGACGGGGCCCAACATATCCGAACGGACCACCCCCCGAAAAATTCCTGGGGATTTTTTGACCCTTCCGGATTTGATCCCGGGTTTCCAGAGAGGTAGGCTGCCACCTTGACCGCGTTACAAACATTGAGAAAACCCAGAAAATACCACGTGACCAGCCCGACCCGGCGAGGGATGAACCCACGACTGTACTCCCAGTGTTCAGGAAACGGAGCCGCTTGGCCATAAGTGGGCGCCGCAGGTAAGGTGACACTCGAAAATGTGTTACTATAAAAGCAAAGCCATATTTTCCAGATTACAGTTGTTCTTGGTCTATTGTTCTCTTATAGCACGGAGGCACTTCGATCTAAACAAATGAGTTAACGTAGGCATATCACAGTTCGGACAGAATTTTCACTGCTAAGTTCGAAAGTCATATTCGAACTAACCGAATTCGTTAACATGTAAATTTCTATATCCTCGGCTAGAACAAAAAAAGAACCAGGATACAGGGAGGGGGATTCCCCAAAAAGTCACCGGAAAAAATATTTGAAGTCAACACTGTATATGTGGCCTTCTAATTCAAATTTGTCTGGGGCCTCATGAATCTATAACGCGCCACTCACTTAAAGTCAGGAATTTGAAAATCACGTGATTTGATGATAAGCGTATGATTCGTGATGGAAAATCGTATGTTTACAAATTCACAGATACCGAAATGTTTCTTTTCATAAATAAGTTATAATGGGAAAAATCTGTTGATATGGCCGGATGGCCGATCGGTTAAGGTTCCCTAGAGCGGTCAGCCTACCGCTCTAGGAGACTCGGGTTTGAATCCTGACGGGCGGATAAAACTCCATGAATTTTTCGGGGAGTGGTCGTCCAGATATGTCGGGTCCGTCCGTCACCACCTGGCGCCCCATTGTGGGCCTGAAAAACCCATAATGGGCTTGGTATAAGAGGCCCTATTAGTGCCCAAAGGGCGGAAAGATTTAAAAAAGAAAAAGATTCGTTGACAGTATTCAGGACAGTATACATTGGAGAACGGCGCTATATGGGAAGAGGCTATACAGAGGTATGATTATCCTTGTCGTACAAATAAATTGAAATTAAAGTTTATATACATTAAAATGTAAAAATACATAATAAATTTCTGATTTTTCTCTCGAAATATTCTTTTGATTTAAAGTTTTTAGAGAAAATTTGTCGGCTTGTGAGTGTTAAAATATTTTAAATCACTGATATAAGTCCTTATGAGGAGTAAAAAACGGAATTTCTAAAATGAATTAAGTTCTATGGACAACAAAGAATCGTTGATGCGCGCCAACAATATCTTTGTTTTTCGATTATTATTTCGAAGCGCTTTCGTTTTGTTGGAGGGTTTTCTTGCGATTTTTAAGAATGAGTAAAAAGAGAAGTTTTTGGAGGTGGATTGGAAGGATCTTCGGACAAAGACCTCCAAGCGAAGAAAAGGTTGAGGAGAGAAAGGGAGAGACAAATGATCCTTTTCCGAACGCAGAAGTCAGTGGGCTTTCGCCGGAATCTTCGGAATATCCGAAGGTTCCAGAAGATGGAGGACTTCCGTTAGAGTCTTCGGAGTGTCAGAAAGATCCAGGCGTCAGTGTGTGGTGTACCACCATATTGTTCTGTTGTATAAAACGAAAATATGTAGATATTTTCCTATCTCTTTTCTTCCCTCTTTGTTCCTTGTTCCATGGAACATTCTAGAAACTTCTAACCACGTGGAATGAATTGACCTACTTGGGAAACAAAGGGAAAAGGGGAGCCCTGAGGGTAAGAATGAGGGGGAACGGACCAGTGATGCCAGATTGGGCTACAAGTAGCGGATTGGGCTACTTTTTAAGTGCTCTCGCTACAANTGTGAATGGCTCACATATTTGTAAAATCTAAGTGACTCGTACAACATGTAATTCAGATAAAACGGAAAAATCAACGATCTTATAGGGGGGGTCGACTGTACTTTAATAAATATTTTAAATCCAAACTTTTAATTAATGTAAATCTATTACAATGTACTTTATTCATCAGATATTAACATTATATTACAAGCATTAATTCAAGATGTATGTATTTTTAACACACTAATCCAGAGAAAATAGCTTTTTCTACAAAGCTCTGACACCACAAAAGCAGAAAAAAAATGCATATTTCTTAACATGTAGAAGCCAACTATAGTTTTCGAAACCACCAAGAAATAAGTGAAAAGATATTTTATAAAAAATGTATAAAATATATCAATAAGTTAACCCATACTTTAACCATCTTATAAATATATAAAATAATTAAATTAGAAACAATAAGTGTTATATACAAAATCTATCACATTATTTCAGTCAAGTGTTTCAAATGTATGGTTACAATACATTTATTTAAATGTATTGTAACCATATACTAAAAATATGTTGAAAAGTTGATACATTTGTATCAGTTCTCTAAAACTTTCTGGAAAGTATTTGAAAAACTGATGATAAAAAAAAATGAATAAGACAAAAAATATGCTTTTCAAGCCTTAATATTATTTTTGTGCATTCATTGAAGCAAACTAGAACAACTATTGTCAAATATATTTTAAAATGATTAAGAGAAAATAAAACAAACATTTTTAATGTTTTATTCATTACATATTGTTATATTCTATTTTTATTTCTACTTGATTAAAAACATTTATAATATGACAATTGCAATTTAAAAATAAACTATATTGAAGTCTATCAAGTGCACGTATATGATCAAGAGTATCAATTGAAGGTGAGAGTCCTCCATGCAAACAAAAAATCTAAAAAGTAAATGAAACATTTGCAATTAAATATATTATTAAAATAATGAATTATAATTTATTTATACATAATAAGTTTTNTTTAAAAACAAAAGCATAAATGCAATACAGAAGTGGGTACCTA